TTAGCTATTATTTCAAATTGCATTGTGCGCACACAATATTTTACACAGCAAGGAAATTGGACAGCGCGTCGTGGGATTAACATTCATCGTGAAATACCGATATCATCGGCACGCGATGACGAAGAAGTCACACGTGGTTTTAGAGTTATTTCTGTTTTCACGACGTGAAATGATCGTTCGATATACAGAAATGTGCAAATTCTGTTAAATTTGTTATCTTATCGGTTGTTAAATTCGTATATTCATGTCGCGAGTGTATACATATATACATATATACACTCGTCGTTTCCTGTTACATATATTTGATAAAGTCTCAACAGGGATTTCTGCATCGCGAAACTCGTCTAATAATTCTTGCAGATGATGTTTCTGCGCACGAATATTATCCGTCGTATTGCAGCGATAAGAAATTGTATCGTTTTCATTGCCTCTAACGCTTAGCAACTCGTTTGCCAAATGTTTGTCGGATTTGACGTTGGTACCACGCGTTTAATTTTAGTCGATGTTTGTACAGCTTTCATACTTGCTCGCAAGTCGACACCGTTACATTTTTCAATATACATGTAAACATAATTGCAGTCGCCGCAAATCGCGAATTTAGCGAATGTTACATTTTTTAAACCCAAGTCATCATCACCAGTTTTAATATTCTCTTTTAAATTTAAAATCTGTTTAGCGCTCGCACGAACGTTATATATTCTATTTGATGTATATCAAGTTTCATCTTCCTTAGATCTTTTATAAATCACTTTTATCTTTTATAAATCTGTAGAGAGTAAATATTTTTAACAGAATAAATTTTCTTAAGCAAATATTTTTAGAATAATTTTATATAAAATAAATATTTTTAGTAGAGAGTAAATTTGCGATTGGAGTTTTTAAATGGGAACAAATGTGACACGCAAGTATAATGAGATGCTTTCCTGAAATATTGAATGATTTGGAAAGGTCTAATTTGGTCTAAAATAGTTTGTGTGTGTAGAAAATCTTTGAAAATGAGTTCGAGTGCTGAACGCTCGTGTGCATCCTTCATTTAATTTACTAAATGCGCGGAGACCAAGATCGACAGGGCTGAAAGCCAAGTCCAGCACCTCCCATGGGATGAACAGGAAGATCTCTAGCTTTCTTTCTTTTTCTCACATACATATATACATTCTCTATTTCTTGCAGTTGTTTAAACAATGAATTTCCCCAGACGCTTCTGTATCTCGGCCAGAAATTGCCTGGAATTGCGAACAGCGAGAAGCAAGATCGCGAAAGCATAAACCGAACGATTTCTAGTGTGGATAGTGGACTAGTGGGGATAGGACACTCCCGGGAGAGCACATCCACGGATGGAAACTTTATTTTCAGGCTTATGAAATGTACACGATATACAGCCGACTAGACGCGCGAGGCCATGCTTTAAATATAATTTTGCATGTGAACGCTGACGCCGATATCGGCTATATAAGAGTATACAGAGCCGTTTATTACATCGTAGTTACAACACGAGAAAACATGATTCCTGAATCACCCGATGTAGCATATATAGTCATCTCGATAGCTTCTTACGTGGAATGTTCTTTAATTGAATGGCAACATTTTTTGATAAGTCTCGTCGAATTTATACTGATAGAAAATAGTTGTAACTATGACAACTTAATTATAATTTATAATTACTTTTTATGCCAACTATATATTTATTTTAGTTATTTTAACCATGCAAATTATAACTGCTTTAACTGCATTATGTGTATACGATCATCAAAACTATCCCGACTAGAAATTTATTCAAAGAATTTAGCAGGTCCTAAAAAGGTTGACTTTATTTCGTTATCAGGTCCTGATAAGGTAAATTCATCAGGATCTGATCAGTCATGTAACGCAGCCTCGTAGTCGAATCCTCATCTGAACAGCCTCATCGGGTCCTGATGAGAACCCGATAAAATCCTTATCATATCCTTATCAGGACCTGATAGTGAAAGTTAACTTAGCTAAGACCTGCTAAAATCACTGGATAAATTTCTTAAGTCGGAAATTGTTCAAATGCTATTAATTTAAATTCTAAAAGAAGCAAAAAACATATATTTCAAAGGTTCCAGGAGGTATACTCTGAAAATACCTTATAATCTCTCTAGGAAATTATTCAAATCGACTTGCACACGCCTTCTTATAGAACTTGTGAACATTTTCTTCTTACGAGCAACTCGTCCTTCTCGTGGCGTGGCTGCACTAGAGGTCAACTATACTCAACGAAAATTTTCTTAGGTATATCTTATTCAGAATTATTTTAGGTCAACCAAACCAGGTCTTTATAACATACAACCTTACAAAGATCAACCATACTCAAACCTGATGAGAACCTTGTTAGATGTACCTTATTTAGGATTACCTTACATCAACCAAATCAAGTCCTTATAACATATAAGGTTAACCTGACATAAATTCTAGAAATAATATACAACTATTATACTAGTGTCATGAAATTAAAAGCGATTGGTTCTTTTTTTTTTTACATATTTTTTAATTATTACTACGGTAAGCAAATATTAGAAAAATAGTTACATTCACTATAATTGCAGATTTTAAATTTTAAAACCTTTTTTTAAATTTAAATTTTATTCATTTTTAACGAAGTTGTTTGAACTTTAAAATTTGCACTATGAACTTTTATTCCAACCTAATATTTTTCTTCGATATCTTTCTTTCGTTTGGATTTCATTTATGTCATTTGAAACGGTAAGAAAGACATCACAGATTTTTGTCAAGCGAGATCGGCTTAGCGAAGCGGCGCGTTATGTGCTTGAATGTTCAATTATGACTCGGCGCGCGAAACAAAAAGCTATTGGAATAGACAAAAACTGTAATCGCGAATGGATCGAAATGTTCAACGATCAATAGCATCTTTGTGAGATTTAATATGCTTATGGCAACAACTAGATGAGATCTAGTGTGACAAGTTAGATGAGATCACTCATTCATGAGCAAAATACATTATATACATATACATATATGTATATAAATATGTGTATGTATGTTTGTACATATAAATGGAAAATAGTTTGATAGAAACAATGTAAGGGATACAGATAGAGAGAAACTTTATTTTTTCGTTCCCTTTTCGATGAATATATGGCTGTTGAAGAACGGTGGAGATCGAAAATAAAAGCCGCAATTCATGGTGAACGTGGTTAATATTGATTCGAGCTAGATTCACACGCGAACTTCACTTGAACCGGAACACCGTTACTGTTTTAACTACCTAGTGCTCGCGCTTTGTATTTTCGGAATTGGTTTAAAAGTCACCGCAGAGAATCCCCGTTTTCTGAGTAAAAAAAAAGTAACTACAGTATCGAATTATGGATGCACATGTATCCTCCTCAATCTATCAGACAAATTGAAGCAGATGTTATTAATGCGAACATATTATGTGTCTTTTGTTTAGTCGACACAAGTAGTCGACACAAGTCGTTCTTTGTTATTCACCAAATGCAAAGAACGACATTTGTGTTGACTTATCAATAAAAAACACTTATTAAAAACGATATTCAAATACGATATTAGCTTTGCAGAACAAATTGAGCTTCGAAAGAATATTCTTGAGTATGGAACATATAATTGCGGGAATAAAATATGTGCCAGTTTCATGAACAGTTAAAAAAATACAAGAAATTATATACAACAATGGAAACAGAAAGAGTTGAAAGTATAATTTTTAATATCAATTAGCGCAACTATGTAAACAGTATTCTCTCATGTATCACATTTTCTGACATTTCGATTATTTATGCTATTTTTGGTATTTTTTCTGACAAAGAAAGTTTTTACGAGTTTTTGCGAGGGTTTTTAATCACAGATGTGACAGAAATTTTACTATTTGCATGAATTTTTTCGGTTAGTCATTCATTATGTGCGTATACACAGCCAAATGTGATTGTTCACGCGAATGTTCGCTCGTTGGAAGACGTACAGTTTAGAAATTGTTATTGCAACTCTGTACAATGACAACATAGATATTATTCAGGCTAGTCCGCCGCAACTGCTGATTTCGTTGACAATGCAATCTTCATCACATGCGTAATAAAGGACGCGTATTATTATCGCGTTACACGAGTTCATGTCATATTCATCATCGCGTTATGTATTTAGCAGATTCGTATAATGTTTGCATTATCGCCATGTATTTTTAAATTGATTAATTGATTAATTTATTATTTTGAAGTATAAATTTAAAGCAGGAACCTGATCGTGATATTTGCTTAAATTGTTAAAGCGCTTCGACGATTCAATTAGTTCAGTCAATTAAAAGATCCGACAAATAATTGAGAAATGTTACTTTTTCTTTAATAATAAAACTTTGTGAAATAAAAAATTACTATTAAAATATTTTTTGTTAAATTAATATATAATATTATACTTTTTAATATTATAGCTATAGCTAAATTAATCTATCGATGAAAGTAAAGGATTATTAATTTGTTCTGCGATTCTTTTTGATATAGTATTTTAATATTTTATTAATTTATTAGATATAAAAGTTATAAGAAAAAGGTAGGATAAAAAATGAATGCACAGTATAATAAATAAAAACAATAGAGAGAGAGAGAGAGAGAGAGAGAGAGAGAGAGAGAGAGAGAGAGAGAGAGAGAGAGAG